TTTTAAGGTCACCACCACCAAATTCTGTGACCACCCTCGTGACAACTCCTGTGACCACCACTGACTTCTATGACCACCTTCATAACCACCATCTAGAACTGTGACCACCCCCGTGACCACCACCTCATGAGTTATCATTGCCACCAGTCACGTTGCAGTCGTTGCCACAACCACAACATTACACCAACTCAAATTCGGCCACACCCACCACACACAAAACATTACACCAACTTACCAAGATCTCCAACAATCGTCACCATCACAAAACCGCCCTGTCGCCACCACCACCACCTGAACCATCATCACCACTGTCCACCAACCACCAAACATAGATCAGAAAAATCGTCACCTGTACCACGCAGATCCGCCCCGACAAAACACCACCATAACTAGTTAACCACAGTCAACAAAACCACCACCACCACACAACAGCCAACTAAACCACCGTGCAACAACATTTCGAGACGCACATGGCGATTTTTAACACACACAACAAATCGTCTACACCACCATCTCACCATCACCACTGTAAACCACTGAACGCAACCACAACCACCCCAGTCTCAACAAAAGCCCCAAAGAGAGCATGAATTCTTATAGAATCAAACACAAATCGAACCCGTACAAGAAGACCCACAATGAAACGAGGGGAGAATTGTTGGTGCCTAATAGGGCAATAGCCAGAGCAAGTGGAATCCAAGCAGCCACATCATTGACTGTTGTAGCAGACATGACTATTTGACCAACATCGAAAGCGACCTATGAGGCAGTGGTGGTGTCCGACTGCTTTGCGCAGCTCCACTCCGGTGGTGCCAGTGTCGGATCGGTGGTGGTGTCAGGCTGCTTCGCGCAACTCCACTCCGGTGGTGCCGGTGCAGGATCGGGGGTGGGTACCACGAAGAGAGAAAGAGGGAGATGGAGATGATATAGAGAGACAGTAAGGCGACGGGAGAGAGAGAAAGAGGAAGATGAGAGTGGTAAATAATTTTTAGGGTTTGGGGGGTGAAATTTGTATATATAATATATAAATATAAAATATCTAATTTTAAAAATATTAAACTTCCAATCTGATTTTAGAAGTTTAAAATATGGTTTCATGAAATTACCACTATTCTTTTACCACGTGTATCATAGGATCTACTAGTTATTTTCAGATTTAAGCCCCGTTTGATACCCATTTTTTTAATTCTATTTCTCTTTCTTCATTTCAACCACACATTATATTAATAAAATAATATTACACATAAACCCAAAAATTCTCCTTACTTTTTAACCACACAATCTTCCATCAATCACTATTTCAAAAATTATTTTTCAAACAAAATGGATGTCAAACAAGGGCTAAGTGTAGACNTATTTTCAGATTTAAGCCCCGTTTGATACCCATTTTTTTAATTCTATTTCTCTTTCTTCATTTCAACCACACATTATATTAATAAAATAATATTACACATAAACCCAAAAATTCTCCTTACTTTTTAATTATACAATCTTCCATCAATCACTATTCAAAAATTATTTTCAAACAAAATGGGTGTCAAACAGGGACTTAATCTGTGATGATATCAAGGTTTTACGTCTCACTCACCAATTCCCCCTCTAAGGCACAAAATTTAGTAGCATTTAAATGTGTGCCTCTAACACTTGCTCACAATCTTTGTAGAATTACATGTAAACATCCAAAAATTATAACTACTGTACAATTATTTCCCAAAAAAATATTTATAACATCCAAAAATTACACCAAAAATTTTGCACATAACTATTGTACAATTATTTCCCCATGCTCAATCAGGGGTGGACCCATGAAGAAAGTTCAGTAAGAGCGAAATCAAAAAATCTTGGAAAAAATATTTGAAAATCTAAAAATACCTTAAAAATAATACTAAAAAAATTTGAAGAAAGATCGGGAAATCTGAAATTTGAGTGGAGGTGGCGACCCCCACTGTGCCTCATGTAGGTCCGCCCATGTGCTTAATCAACATGTGAGAAACCAACTCACCACTCTAGTTCATGACACAAACTTCGACTAGCTTCCGCAAGTGCCTATTTGTTGCCTTGCATCCTCGATCAGGGGCGGACCCAGAGCATTTGTGTTGTGGGGTCGAAAATGAGATTTCAAAAATCTTTAGAACGACATATCATTAACAAAAATAAGTCAACGCGATATTACAACTATAGTATACGCTCTATCACAACTGTAGCCAAACATAGTAAAGTCAAAAGTTTTTAACATTTTTTTCCCACGCAAAACAAATAAAAGTCAAAAGAATCAAACAGCCAATTCATGTCTTAGTTACAGAATCAAAGATCTGATCATAAGCAACAAAACCCAGATTAGAAATTATACGTACAGGAAGATGAGGAATGTAATCAGAAAAGTGTGGGACGTACTCCAGAATGTAACCAAAATCTCCACTCATGATTTTGGGCTGCAAATTTTTGAGTAATCTTGTTCCCCCCATTGAAACAAACCCATTTCTTGGATTCGAACCAGCTTTTTCCTTATCATCACTTGCAAAAATTTCAGCAGCACCACCATCAGTGACAGAGTTAGACACGGTCGACTCCATTAATATGAAAAATCGCAAGTAACCAGCTTCAGAATGTGGAGGTAGAGTGGCAGAGGCGGAGGCGGAGGCGGAGGTGGAGCGGCGGAGGCGGAAGAGTGAATGTGTTTTTGATTTCTTGGATTGGGCTAGTGTAATTGGGTTTGGGTTAGTGAAATTGGGCCAGTGGATTGGGCTGCTTAGTGGTAAGTGTTAGTTCGAAAAAAAAAACT